TAATGACTTAYGTGACTTTGAGAAAGAGTGGGGAGAAGATGAGCACAAGGAAAGGGAATTATAATGGCTGGAAAGGATGAACAAATTGGAAAGTGATGCAGAGAATAAACACCTAATGCCCCAAATAGGTAACTTGGGAGCAATTCAGAGGTGTTCCCCAGCCATAAGCTGCCAAAATGGTTAATAATGCACAGGACAAAGCAGGAGACAAAGCTGATGTGACGCCATTCAAATAAATAAGAGAAATAAAAAAGGGAGATATACATGTGGAAATAGTTACACAACCCCATTTTTGACATACCTGAGCAGAATATTACAGTGTGTGCTCTTCAAGAGAACTGAAGAAAAAACCCCAAAAAAAACCCCAAAAAAACCAACAAGACCCATTAAAAAAAAACCCCAAAAATAATTTTGTTTTCAAAAACACCAAAAACCCTAACACAAAAAAAATCCTAAAAAACCAAAAACACACAAAAAAATTCATCACATCAAGGACACTGCTTTTCCATTTTTTACACATGGTGACTGTGATTTAACCCAGGAAAGAAAGCGCAAGCAAGCAACTGGAAACCATTTCACAGCTACTTTTGTGAACTCTACTCAAGAAAACTGAAATAGAGGCAGTTACCCAGCAGGAAGGTGGAATTGCTGAAAAAGCTGCATGACTGATGAMATGTGTCTACACAAGCAGCCCCTTTGCTCTTTTGAAAGCACTGACAAGTAAGTGGTTTAACCTGAAGGCAGCAATTAAGAGAGACAATAGCACAAAACTCACTTGAGGGAAAAAAAAAAAAAACCCTTAAATATATTGATGAAAACTTGCAGGAGAACAAGTATTTGTCATCTGTGTTACAATGGAACAGACTGGAATAATCATAAAAGACTCTGAAAATGCTTCTGAAAAAGTAACATCAGGAGAAAGGGGGCTAGGTCTAGAGATATAAGGCAGTGAGAGGACACGAGGGGGAGATAATTCAGATGGCCAAGTTTTCTGTCAGGAAAAGGACTTGTGCCAGCAACCAGGAGTTTCGAGGAGCAAAGGTAGCAGGGACAACTAGAGGGAAACTGAGGGACAGCAGTTTCTCCATCCAGCACAGAACAACTCAAAAGTATCAAGGAACACATCTCGCACAAGTGGGATTTGAAGCCTTCACTGCTGCACAGCACGGAGAGAGACAGAAAAAAGTTTTAACATTTGTAGCGAACAAGGGTTTGTAGCAGAATTGGATATTGGGAAAATTCACACTACACATCTAYGGGGTGACTATTGATTGGGATTAAATGAGGATCAGATAACGATGAGGTCACAGAAGTGAAGGGTAACRTGCATGTGACCTTTTATCACCCAGGATCAGGGTTCAGCAGAAATGAGATAGGAGAATTTGCACTGGTATCAATGCCAGCACCAATCTCATTTGATTTTCTTTATTCTCTGTACTCCCACATTAAGGTTTCCCAGATTTCTGGCTCTTCAAACGCATTTCCTCAGAACATCACAGCCACCGACCACAAAAATGAGTCACAGCAAGTACCCAAAACACAATGCTACCTTAATATCCATACAGCACCTCAACACTGTCACCTGGAAACTGCCTCATAACAGAAATATTAGCGGAATGGCCATCCACACATATTAAGAAAAGCAAACACTGCACATTACTTTTTTACTTACTGCATTATTGCATTTAATAATTTCAGACAAAACAGGTCCTTTAGAAAAAGAACAACATTCACAGACTTTTAAATGAGCAACTAATAAAGTGCTTAGGTAACGCCCACATTAGATTTTACTGCTATCTATGCAAGAAAAATGGAAATACCTATATTAGTTCTTTTCTGGTTGCAAATCGCTTAAGAAAAGCCACGCTGACTGCACTATGCACTAGCCAAAGCCACATGAATCTTATTTATCAGATCTCCATTACACTCAAAGCACACACACCACTTTCTGTAACAGAGCAGTTGCCAGTCCAAACGCACAGCCACCTCTTCAGAATGAGTTTCAGCTCCTGGATGAATGAGCACATTGTGATGCTATGACTGAACAAAAACTGAGGGGCAAACGCAGTGCTGGTGAAATTCAAAAATAYTGCTGCAAGAACAAACTGCTGCCGGTGATAAGCCAGCACTGTATTCYACAAACATCACCTAGGGTGCTATTTGGCCTTTGCTGAGGATGTGAGCAGGAAAAGCTGTGCTGGAGAAGGGCACACACGAGCTCTGCTGCTGCTCCACAATCTCCCGGTCACTGCTGCAGTTCCAGCCTCTGCAGCMCCCCCATCCCGAGCTCCTGACCCATGGAATACGCCACATGATCAGCCCTTGGCTGCAGAACCACGCAGCCTCTCCACACTGCTGGGGATTGGTTTGCCTTTCTAGCCCAAYGGCTTGTATAATTTACAAATAAGAGGTGGAAACCCACAGGATGAAGCCAAAYATATGTGCTGTTTCCCCAAGTCTGCAGAGGCTAAAGAACATCAGCATGAAACGCTTTATTATCACCAATTCCCCTTTAGCACAGCATTCAAGTGTTGAGTTTAACTATTTCACCAAGGAGCAYGCTAGAAATAGGCTGCTGTGGCACAAATCTCCAATTTCAGATTTTATGCCACCTCCACCATCCCAGCAACCTTGCAGCTGAATTTTTACCTTACAAGCTTCTGCAAGCTGGRGAGTAAAACTGGTGTAACCCACTGAAAACGACAGTCAAACACTACTTTTATTTCCAGCGGTATAAAGAATGCTGCAATAACAGCATGACCTTGCATATTAAAGTATGAGAATCCAGATGATCTAACAGCAACTTGTTGACCATGTAAGTGACCACAGTCAGGGTACTCCCCAAGGGACATCCACTGTATACACACCTCACTCATGTTCTTCYTGAAACACTCCCAAAAGTGGGATATGGAGCTAGAAAGCTGTCTGACCCAACTCAGACTTTTGGTTCTGGACAAGAACCTTATCTCTGGGCATTACACATTTTTCTGCCTGGACTCCCCTTCCTGCACAGCTCAGCAATTTTTTTTTATCCCATAAAACACATTTCTGGAAGGTAYTGGCAGACAGAGACACCTTGCCAGCAAATCACTGTCTGAAGGCTCACAAGGTGAGGAAGTCAGAGAAGGTCCACTGAAAGTCAGTAAGAAAGGCAGACAACACAGGACAGCATGAAAGAAAATAAAATCACAGAAATACAGGTATCTTAAAATGTGGAAAAGAAAAAACAAGCTTCAAACAAGGTTTTCCAACAATGTCATGAGTTTGAGAAACACTGCTGTGTGGAATATAGTACCTGACCCAAAAAAGGAGGGAGGGGAAAAAAAAATGGGCCAAAAATCCATGTAAGACTTGAGGAATTTCTGAAAAAGGCTTCAAAGGCTGAACACAGACAAAAATGAAGAAAACTTGCCTAAGACCATTTTCAAATGTGTAAATGGAGAAATAAACAAAAGCACATTTTTCACAGGCAGGATATGCTTCCCCTATTTTTAGCTTGGCCCTCTCCATACAGCTGTGCTGTTTCTGGCATCCACAAARCACCTGCCTGACAGACCAAGCCAACAGCCTGCACTCTGTGCTCTTAGGGCTTGCTCAATGCTCACCACCGGCAGAGCATTTCCATTTGAGTAAAAGCTACTTGAGGGCCATTCATAATGCTGAAGAAGCCAGCAAGCCATCATTTGAGTGCCACTGGTCTAGAAGTCATCCACTTTGACAAACAGAATAGATATGCCAAATGTTTAAATGTTCTAAAAGCAGAGCACTGACACAGTTTGATCCATTGCACAGTCATGGAAATTGAGAGATCAACCCAGCGCCATTTTCAATTACCAAAAGCTTGTCAGAACGTGTACAGAGCACTGACAGCATCCCAAACGTTTACCYCCAGGGCACAAAATTAAACAGCTATTACCCAATAAAAGAAATCRCATTTTAAAGCCTGTCTTTGAACATGACAAATATCCACAGCTCTTTTCAGATGGTAATTTTGTCTATGAGAACAGAAAAAAAAACCTCAGAAAATTTAGCAGAGGAACATCCACAATAGCTCATTTACTAGAAATGCACTGATAAGCACCTTTTCTTTTTTTTTTTTTTAAATCAGCCTGCTGTATTGCTGAAGCACAGCAATTTGGTTTCAGCTACCMAAACCACACAGCTATTTTGATCATTATATATTCTTCACACTTTCAAAACACAAAGGACATCACTACGGTTTAGCTGAAAGGAAAAGGTTATATCTTGACTCACAGCTGCACAGGGCCAGGGAGGTCAGTCTTCACCGTGTATTGCATCCTCCCAAAATCTTGCACGATGAAGGGTCCAGGTATAAGCACCTTCTATTTTTTTTCCCCCCATTATAAACACGCACAAAACGTTTAAAACGCTAACACAGCTGACAAAAAGCCACGGCTAAAAACTCCTTCCAACRGAGTCACGCATGTCAGCATCTCCCACTGACCCCTAAATCTGATTCATTYACGGGAAAGAGATCACTTTGACAGCCACCAGCTTCTTCCAAAAACGCAAACATCCTACCTGCAGGGCCCTGCCGCTCCACATACGCTCTCTGATGGAAGAATTCCATGCTAACCATTTTTTCGGGAGAACGCCTGCCTGTACCAAAAGGGGGCTGGACGCAGCAGCGCCCAGGTAYGAACACCAAACCCTCCCGTCCTTCGCTGGCCAGGGCTGAGCCCGCCGGTCCCGCTACCGCCCCGCTCTCTAACCAGTTCTTTGCACCGAGAATTGAAGGCATCGTGGCCCTCCTGGAGCAGGGGGAGAGCCAGGGGAGAGCCAGGGAAGCGGGGCTGAGGTGGGGAACATCCCCATGGCCCGCGTACCTGCCCGTCCCGGGGGGCGSAGGTAGCGGCCCTTCCCCTCAGCTCGCAAAACACAGCCCCGCTGCCTCCCCGCTCCCCGGCGGGCTCCCGGTGACAGCAGGCAGACGGTGACACGGGGATAACAAAGCCCGGCGGAGAGACGGCGGTGCTCACCTGCCCAGCGGTCGTTTCATGCCCTCGGCGGCGGCGGCAGCGGCAGGCAGGCGCARGCTTCGCCTCAGGCTGCAGCCCTTGTCGAGCTGCCCGGGCGCGGCGGTGGCGGCGGCAGCGGCGGCGCGCTCATGCTCCACCGTGACCGACTCGTTGCGTTTCCTCATGCCGAGGCGGGGGCGGCAGCGGCGGCGGCGGAGACGGCGGCAGCGGAGCGGGGCCGCGCTCACTCGCCGCGCGCCCTGCCCGGCCCTGCCCGGCCACGCCCCTCCGGCGTGCCCGCCAATCCCCGCCTCCGGCCGCGCCCCTCGCCCCGCCCCTCCGCCGCCCCCGCCAAGCCCCGCCTCCGGCGGCCGCAGCGCCTCAGAGCGGCCGCGGCGCCATCTCTACTGCGGGCAAGGCCCCGCCGCCATTTCGCTGTGGGCCGGGGCGGGGCTCCGCGGCCCCGGGGCTGCTGCTGAGGGCGGGAGATTGGTGTGCCCGTGAAAGAGCACCTCCAACCCGGGCTGCGGGGGGCTGGAAGGGCTGTGAGACCGCGGCCGAGTGGCGGTGCACACCTGGGATGCGGGAAGAGTCAGGGCCCGCCCGTTGACACAACCGGCAGCGGGAACAGGGACAGGGACGAAGCTCTTCGAAGGCATAGAAGGGTTATGGTATTTTGGAAAGCATGTCCTCGTTTGCTCTATGCCTAAAGAGGCACATCGGCAAGGCAAGGAAGTTACAGAGCTTCCCTGGCTCTGTGTGGGTGTTGCAAAGGGTGGAATATGTAAAAATTTTCTTGAGAAAGGAAGTTTTTTGATGTTTGATTTTTGTATGCTTTCAAGCCTAGTCAGCAATAAAGGCGATTTTCTGTGTGTCAGRAAAATAAATTAATTTCCTGGTTAAAGTTTAGGTCTTGAGGTGCTTCAGTGACCTCAGACTTAGGGGAAGGTTAGCAAAGATTTGGAAAAAGGATGCCCACTGAAAGTGGACACAGAATTTATAAGATAAGGAAGAAGTAATAAAGCCAATTCAGCAATTGTGCTGAAATCAGCTGCAGTTGGGTAAAAGGTAATTCCATCAGGGTGAGATCTGCAGCCACGGGCTCAGAAATGACCGACCCAAGAAAGCCACAGAACCAAAGGAAGAGAAAAAAATGAGTGTGCAAACTAATTAGCATGAGAAGCGAGAGAATCATTAACCAATAARAGACAGAATGATAATAAGAGAACTATGTAACTTGTAGCCAATGTGCACAATTCCTTTGTTTGCTAAAACAAATAGTAAAAAGTTTTGATGGCTGGCGTGCTTGAGTTGGGGAATACCACCGAGCACCCAGGCTTGTGCAACTCTGAAATATGTCTCACTTGAGTGTGTAATTGTTGGCTTGTTGCACATGAGGTAACCAATCCAATTTTTGCAGACAACTTGGGGATCCTGCACTCATAGAATCACAGAATAGTTGGGGTTGGGAGGAACTTTAGGACCATCCAGTTCCAACCTTCCTACCATGGGTCAGTAGACCCAGAGCCCCATCCAGCCTGGCTTTGAACACTTCCAGATTTGGGGCATCCACAGCTGCTCTGGGCAACCTGTGCCAGTRTCTTGSYACCCTCACAGTGAAGAATTTCTCCCTAACATCTAAACCTGCCCTCTGYCAGTTTAAAGCYGTCCACATGTCCTAGCACTACTCACCCTTCTGAGAAGTCACTCGGAGCTGGTGGTGGCAAATGAACAAGTGAAACATTCCCTGCAGWATCAGCACGAGGTGGTGATGGCTCTATCTCTGCCTTTGGGGTTAGAGGAAAGAAAGACAGCAGTGCAATGCAAAGAGCAGCCATGCTCAAGTGTTTTCTTCTCATCCATTGGGATATCTTCTTGTTCCTGCGAAGTGAAAAAGTGGAGCAGTCTCTGGAAAACGGCTCTTTGGGCAACTGATCTCAGCTGTCTTGCATCCATTTCTTCTGAATTGTTGCTGASTGATCCTGTACCTGATGGAACATTAAGATTCCAGAGAAATACATAAATTATTTAATCCTAGGAGCAAAGACAAGGCACTGGTCCAAAAAGGAGGAAGTAATTGTTAAAATACCAGCCTCAATGGACCGAAAAGGAGGAAGAAATTGTTAAAATACCAGCCTCAACTATCTCAGCAGTTATGGACAACTAGCAGAAAGTACTGTGTAACGAGCTGGTATGTATTTTATCTTGTTTCTACAAGCTTCTCCTAACATTTGAAATTTTCAGAAATTTTCTCTTGACCAGACCATAACTGCTAAAATTTTAAGCCAGGAAGAAGACTGGGAAGACTGGTTTTACTTCTTTGTGATAACTGCTGTCTGTTTTGCATGTATTGAACAGCAAAGGAGGGTGTTCTTGTGCATTTGATTTTTTTCATTTTCTGTGTCTGATTGGAAAGACTGAGTTCTTCTGTCCCATGAGGAGGGAATTGCAAGCTTCTCCAGGGGCTTTGATACATGGGGAATAGACTTAGGTGTCATAAATATTCTGAGATGCCTCAGAGTACAGTTTACTACTGAGGAACCCTAAGGAAATTTACTTGCAAGTCAGTCTTTGTGGTGTGAGTCTTAATACCAGTTGGCTTTTTCTCTGTGCTAGAAAGAAGCAAATRTTTTCTTGTGGAGGCCTTAAGCTATTCTCAGCATGTCTAAATGCTTCCCTTGCTTAACTACGTAGGTGTATAAACAGGTGCTTGCTTGGTCTCTCCTGTCATATCAGATTTTTGAGATTCAGGAATTACCACATGCCTTTTTTTTCAGTGTAATGTCCTCCGTGCTGCTGATACATATTTTATAGAATATTGAATCCCAAATTAACCCCTATGGTGCAATTCTGGTAGACCTGAGAGAYTGTTGAGRCAWCAGTCCCCTACAAACCTTACTTCTGCTGCTGTTATAAGCCAGGGTGAAATTCTGCCTTCTATGGTCCATAAATACTGTATCTGAACAATTCAAAGCAGCTGAGGGAATGTGCTGACAGGATTTCTTACCAGGCAGTAACTCCATGGAGTTCCACAAAACATTTACAGGAAGAACAGGATTACTGTCTCCTAGTTGAACAACGTGGAAAACATTATGGAGAGTTCAGATGGAAGGGGCTGTGGACCCATCCTTCCATGTGGGACACATTCTTCCTGGAGGCAGGAGAACCCACATGTTCCCCCACCACAAGCTGCTCAGAGTCCTGGGGCAGGGGCTGCCTTTGGGACAAGACAGGACTGCTGGGTCTGGCACAGGAGATGGTGCAGGCTGGAGGCATAATAAGGCTTGTAGGCCCAGAGCAGGGTGCAGAGAGGACCTCAGAACTCCACATGTTTTCCAGGAAGAGGTCTTCTCCTGCAGGATCTCAGTACATGAGCATAGGATTGGCAGAAGGTTTGGCTCAGCGCTGCCTCGGTGGGCAGCCCCTGATGTGGGGACACCCCATGACATCCTGCGGTACCACCCTTCTGGAAAATCTGGAGATGGGGACCTGCATGTTTTCCTTGCTGTCCAGGAAAATGTTTTCCAGGTGTCAGTCCCTGCAGAGGAGAGGCAGCACGTGCTGTGGGCAGGTAGGGGCAGATGGCAGGTGGTGGGCAGGGAACAGGGGCCAAGGAAGGAGCTGTGGGTGGATGAGGGGTCATGGTGGGGAGGAGAGCTTGGACTGGCAAACAGTGGAGTGGAGGGAGAATARGCAAGGGTGCAGTGCAACAGTCAGAGATGTGGAGACAAAAAGAGGTTTCCAGGAAGTCCTTTACTACSCGAGGGGTTCGGCTCCATGAGAAGATAAAAGCTGTCTCCATGCCTTGGCTCAGCGTGATGAGCCCTTCGGGACCCGTGGGCGCAGGGGCTTGGCATGGGACAGCCCTGCCCTCCGCTGGCTCCCCTTTGTCTTGCACCCCCAGCCCCTTTGCCCACCGCCGCTGCCCTAACCCTTGGCATTCCCCCACARAGTGCCCACCGTGCCTGCCATCCTACTGAAGCTCCCAGGAGCTCCCTGTCCCTCTGAATCCCTGCCCTTTTCCTCACAGTTCCTGCAGTGCCCAGAACTCCCCCAACCACTCCCTCCTCCTTTGAGCCTAAAAACACCCCTGCCCCACTGAGCCACCCAGTAGCACTGCTATCTATTAAGCTTCCCAAAGGGTTTTCCCTCTTCCAGTGCCTTCTCTTTGGAGATGACCTTGGTGGCCACCTTGTGCCACAGCATTGGACAGAAATTAGGCCACAACACCAGTCACATGACGATGGAACAAAGTCAGGGGTCAAATACCAGTTTTGGTGAAGCTGAGCTCCTCCACGACCAAGTAAAGCCAATCCAGAACTCCATGTGACAGCTTATGACAGGAATGTTGATAGCTATGAGCTCTTCAAGCAAGCTTTTACCTATTCACACTGGCACAGTTCCCTCTCACAAGCACCCAGACGGTTGTGCTGGTGCTGTGGCCAGGGTCACTTGTGCATGACACAGGAGAAGGACAACAGAAACCAGGACCTCACTCTGCTCCTGGGGACCCTKTGTCTGTGAGGTCAATGAAGATGATGAGCACACCAAAATTAAGCAGATGCACTGATCTTTCCCAACACTCTTGGGAATTTTTCCCCACATGCCAGCCAGGTTAGTTCACCCGATGACYGAGAAGACTGTGCTCCCTCTCAAGCACSTGTGACACTKYCMAATCCCCTGCTTTTCTCCCCACTCRTGTGCCACATTCCATGAGATCCTTACCACTGGCTTGGCTAAAGTGAACGGGAGCTCTTGCCCCCCTGGCAACAGGCCAGCAGCCACCACCTTAAGGACAATAATGATTGACCTCACAGCTCCTAGACATCCCTTAGTCAGCAGGTCCTGCTCAGGTCCAGGGAGTCAAGGGCAGCTTGCTACCTGCTGGTTGCTTTTTCTGCACCTTGACCACCAGCTTGAAGGTGACACGTACAGACTATTGGACCCCACTGCCCCACTGTGAGGATGCAGGACCACCTGCCAATGATCGGGCTGCCCCATGTGAGCAGGGAAATGTCCTGACGCTATATCCCAGGAACAGCTTTCTGCATTATCAGCAGGCACAAAGCTCTGGCTGTGCTRGGCCTCGCAGTGCTTATGCACACATTTCCATCAACCCTCGGACCCACGAGCTTCACTGACCCCTTATTGCCACCGCAAAACCGTGTATCGGAGCACTAACAAGCACTCGCCCCGTAAAGGTGGGGTGCAGACCCCGGAGCCAGCTCAGGATATTGGGTCTCCTACTCGAGCGATGCAGAGGAGAGCCGG